CTGAACACCTGAAATATAGATGGATTATGAAATGACTGACTGGTCTATATTTCAGGATGTCAGTGAATCAATATTTATTTTTTTTAACACATACAAACTTCTGGAGATTGAAGATGTTTGTGGCTTTTAACTGCACAAGAAAATGTGCCTCTTGAAGAGTTTTGAACTGAATAATGTTGATTCTCATAATAGCTTTGTTTGTTGTGGTACCAGAGGTAGGTAGCCTGAGGGTCTGTCAGGTTACATCTTGTACTACAAGCCAGTGTAACAAACCCAGAAATGGAAGAAGTCCTTTGAACATGAAGCTCTGTTGATAAAAGATAAATACACTTCCTGTTACTGTGCATAGATATATTCAAAAAGTTTATATAATTCATACAAATGTTGGACTCAACAAATCTGACATGTGAGTTTTGGTGGTGTTGTTGTTGTACAACTTCACCTCTGGGATATGTGATGGAGCATGGCTCATCCACTGGTGTCTCTTTATAAGAACACATGTCTCCATAAGCATAAGTAACACTGAAGCATGTTGCTGTGATGGAATCTGAAGAAAAAGTAATGCAATTAAATATTTGTAACAAGATTATTTTTATATTTAGAATTGAGATTTCTGTTCATATCAAATTTATTTATTGTCAAATAATATAGCAGAATAAACATCATGACTCACCCACAGAGACTTCAGGGGCTCTGAGATCCTCGTAGCCTTTGACAGCACAGGAGTATGTGACTGCTTCGTCACTGCTGATCAGCTCTTGGTACCAGGGAGACCAGTCCTCATAGAGAAACTCTCTGTTCTTGTACCAGATGTAGGCTGCAGGCTTTTCAGTCAGAGGACAGCTGCTGCTGCACATCAGTGTTACTGTCTGTCCCTCTGTGGCAGGAATCACCTTTACCTGCAGCTCTGAGAGGATGATGGAGAACAATTTTTACAATGATGTCATTTGGAAAGTAATAAATGATTAAAAGTCACTGTACCTGTAACTACTTGGAGGGTAATTCTGTTGAGCCAACAGAGTTGTGGACTGTCTGTAGTCTTCATACAGCAGTAAGCGTTTGCATCACTCTCTCTTAGATCATTGATGGTTAAAGTTGGGTTTTTCTCTTCAGACATGTTGTACGTTACACGTTGTCCATCCACAGAGAGCTCACTCTGAACATA